GAAAGGAACAGCACTTTATTTGACAATACAATGTGTGGAAATAGAGCAGGGTTTCCTGTCTCCTTTTACAGATGGACAATAACATACCAGATTTACACTCAATTTTTTCTATACATACATTGTCATTGATCTCTGCAGTACATTATACTGAATTAAACCTACAAGGTTCAGATATATATATATAAAACATTTCTTGTCTTCTTATACAGCTAAACAATAACAAAGCAGATTTACACTCACCTGTTTTTATACTAACAGGATGTTTACAGTATTAATTACAGTCCAGATTCAGAGCGAAGTTTTTGTCTTTGCAGTGTTGAGAGATGTGGTTCTGAGAGAGAGAAACGCCATTCAACTACAGGAAACACAAAGTAAAAGAAAAATCTTCAGCAGGAGCCATGAAATTTACTGTTTGCCTGTTAGATCCAATACAGTGAAAATCCAGTGAAAACGGTGATATCCTACACTTTCAGATTCAGATTAATAATTACAGAGAAAATACAGTGAAAACAGTGATATTATAAACCTTCAGATACACATTAATAATAAATCTGTCGTGTGAATATCTGTACGGTCTGACTGCTACAGGACAGGCCTCACCCTACAGCACACTGTGCTGTTAACTGATGTGAGAATGACAGGATACTTACAGGCTGGATACTCTGATCATACCGGTCTGAGCTCCACTTTCTATTGTTCAGAAAGAAAATAAGATTGTCTGATGCCTTTTTATAATTAGATTTGAAAAGCGACCTGCTCACTTGACTTCTGACACCGTCTTTATCGCAGTAAAGGACTATTTTCACTTTCACTTACAGAGCGGCAGGAGGATTCTGGGAAATTGGGCAGTGGCTTCAGGCTGTGTTGTTGTGATCATGCAGCTCGACCACAGATCAGTGTTCAAGAACGCAGGAGCTCTGGGACTTTCCTGTGAAACAGGTATATCAAGCTGAAGCCCAGCTCCTCTTGTCCACAGTCTGCAGAATGTGGCTCTTCTCTCTCTTAAAGGAGAAGTTCAGCTCCTGATTACCTGCCTGTGAGGCAGTGAGATCCTCAGTGAGAGAAAGGAGCTGTCAGGATAGGAGGTGTGTAGAATTATCCTCCTCCTGACTAATTAAGACCTCCTGGGAGAAAAGGGATTTGTCCAGAGTCCAGTCTGGAAGGAGAGTGTGTGAGAGCTCCAGTAGAGAGGTCTTGTCTCTAGTGATGATGAGGCAGGTTTACAGGCCTGTGGGCTCTGCCCGTGAGAGGTGCTTGAGAACAGAAGGGGCTCACAGGTGCTGGACAGGGGGGCTGTGTGCTGGTTCCTTTGGCAGGTTCAATGGTGATGAAGTGTGATGCCAAGGAGCGTCAGCACCTGGAGGAGTGGAGCGTCTCTGGATAGAGTGTACCTGCCCCCCACAGCTGAGAGAGAGGAGTCCTGATGGTACAGGGTGGTCCCAACTGCTCCCTGACCCTGAACATCAGCAGACTGAGGGGTGTCTCTGAACAGCAAAGCAGCTGCCGTATATAAAGATCTGCTGGGAAAGAGAAGAGTGGTGCTGGTGAAGAGTGAAAGAGTCGAAATTGAGGATAGAGAACTGAGAGACACTGTGTTATTCAGGTTGAATATGACTGAATATGACCGATGATTAATTAAGACTGAAGTAAAAATTCAGTGAGAGCTAGTGAGACAAAGGAAGACCACAGCAGAAAGAAGAAGACTGTGTAGTCTTAGTTTTATTTTCAGAAAGTGACCCTATGTTAGGTGTCAAAATGAGAAAAAAATATCAGGAAAGGAATGTAAAACCATTTCAAAGTCTAAGCATCTCTTTGAGGTGAAGTGGATCAATCAGAGGGAGAAGAGAACCAGTCACTGCCTGGATCAGGCTGTCCCTCCACACTGAGCACACAGACAAGGAGCACACCATGAGGACAACAGACACTGGAAGAGTTAGAGGACAGTGGCTGAGATTGGAGGATGTTGTCTGTGGCTCAACAATATTCCAGGCACTGTCTAAAATCCTGCATGGAGCTTTCATGAAGCACCTCAGTGATTCCAAGAAACAAACATGGCACAAGGTGTTAGATTAGACCTGATTGCAACTTTCTTGTGTAAATGCTGAGTGTTACAGTACGTCTGACACAGACCCAGCACAGCAGATCTCCTGTCAGCTCTGTCTCTGCAGGCAAGCAGGGTAGGGGCAGCATCATGCTGTGGGGCTGCTTCTCCTCAGCAATGAGCTCACAGGGATTGAAGGAAAAAGGACAGAGTAAAGCACAGGCAAATACAAGAGAAAACAGACATTTAAAACCAGGACAACAAATCATCTTTCAGCAAGACCAGCACTGAAAACACATGGCTAAACTACCCTGGGGTGAGTAAATAATTAGAAAATCAATATTAGAACATATGCAAGTAACTAAGTGCATTTTATTTGTCAGAAAGAACTACTCTCCCATAGCAGTGAGTGAATGTGCAGGGTCCTGACTAATACAGCCCAGGATGTTCAGGGTGGGAACCCAAGATCACAAATCAGGATGGGAAAAATGGAACAGTCACACAGACACAAAATGTACATAAACCCCTGTCCTTCCCCCCAGGTCCTAGGAGTCAAAATTCCTGATATCTCCCCACTATCTCAGACAGCTTCCCATCTATCCCATCATGCACTGCTGAGGCTGACATCACCATCGTATCATCTACAAAATTGACAAGTTTTCTGTCATAAATCTATAAATCAGGAACACAATCTTTTGTCTCTTTCTCAGAGTTTCTCTGATGTTCAAGATCCAACATCTAAACTGCTTTTCCTAGACACAGAGAGAGTCTTTATTATCCCAAAGAGGCAGTTTGTTTTATAGTAGCAGAGAAGATAAAGAAAAATATACTGTACACAATACAGATATACACACTGTTGTATTATGACTACGGGTATGAATGAGAACTGTAAACCTGTTTATCTTCAGAGGGGGAAATGTGTATCTGCTCTGTGAGGGGAGTATTTGGGATTCATTAAAAAAGGGAGTGAGGGTCCTCTAGGATGGAATTTGCTTTAAGCAGGACTCATAACTGATAGACTTGGGGTACAGCAGGTCTGAACCATTATCACTGAAGACTTTGTGACACAGCTTGACAGTACTCTTCACTTTGATCTTACTCCTCAGATTCACATTCACAAACCAGCTGATCAGGACAAAAGTTAAAACAAATTCAATACAATACTGAGAAAATATTATCATCAATTAATTATCAACCTTAAATTCCTTAAGTTTCTTTGAGAAAAAAAAAGTTGTTGTTGCCCTTTTTTAACATAGTATTGATGTGCACCTCAAACTTTAACTTGTATTTCAGCACTTTTACTGATTCTCCCCTGATGCAGGTTCGAGTGGGGTCTGAGTGATCTTGTCTTGTGTTTGTTCTCAGAGACATTCTGCTTCTAGTAGTTCTGTTCACACTGAGTGACAAACTGGACAACATCATCAGAGTGGTTCTACTGTGAATGTCCAGTCAGTGTGCTCTATAGACCAGACTGCATCTCTCTCCCAGCTTGTCTCCACACTTCAACAAGCTTCAGTCCTCCAGCTCATCCTCAGAGCCATGAAGGGCCAAGAGAGTTCGACAACCCTGCTCCTCTCTGACAGGAGCTGTCCAGACTGTCTGATCTATCTGTTCTCTGCTCTTCCTGTTGACTTGTCCTGTTGCTACTGTGTCTCATATCAGCTCTGCAGGTTTCTCTTCTCATCATTATTTTTGAATTGTCTGATTGATATAAGTGTATAATTGTCTGAAACCAGTTTGGAGAGGTTATTTGCAATGAGATGGTTATTTAATTAAATAGCGACAGCACATTCTATTGAGAATTAAAACAATGTATTCATTATTCATTTCACATTAATACCAGAGTTATCGGCATCAGAGAGAGCTCTCCTGGAACTTCAACTTTTACAATGTGATTATCAGAATTAACAGAATATTAATTCAGTTACACAATTCAGTTCAGTTTGGTGTCATCTGCACAAGTGCAATGAGAGGCTTATTTGCATATCGGCTCCAGTACAAGGACATTAAAGAAAATCATAAACACAGAACAGCAGCAACAACAACAAGTAAAATAACATACAACTTAAAAAAACATCAGTGTGAGCCAGTGGTAGATACAGAATACAGATGTCTTCTGCCCACAGAAGTCTTCACTCTAGATGAGCCCCCAGGCTCTCCCATGTGTTAGAAACTCTGTCAGTCTGTAGGTTCTGCACCACCTGTGACCTTTCATTGACCTCTATAGCACTTCCTGTTGACCTTTTCACCTTCAGACTTGGCAATGTACTGAGGCATGACCTCTCACTGACCTCTATTCCACTTCCTGTTGACCTTTTCACCTTCAGACTGGGTGATGAGCTGAGACATGACCTCTCACTGGTCTCTGCCCTTCACTGTGCAGGAGTCTCTGCTGTCTCTACATCAGCTACAATCTCTGCGACTTGTGTGAGTGTGTGTGTACAGTCTACCTGCTCTCCGATTTCTTCTTCTGTCACTGCACTACCTCCCTCTGTCCTTCCTGTCCTCTTCTGACCTCTAGAACTTAGTTTGCATGATCTAGAGGCAGCTCTTGAATGAATGGGGTTTACTTTCAACATCACAACAGAAAATAATTGCTTACTTAGTTTTCTCTGTGGTCATTGAGAAGTATTTTTCAAGGTTTAAAAAACCCAAGAAGTTGGAAGCAGAAATACACAAGGTCAGAGCAGCTCTGTAGTTCCCTCATTCCCAGAACCTTGCAATGAAGTGTCCGCTGTATAATAAACAGCTAATTAATCCAGGTAATATTGTCCCCTACCAGGTCGTCTGATACTCCTGGAGTGTCAATTCAAAATGACAGAAGTCAAGTTCCTCTGATTCACACCTCTGTCTGCTTTCACTCTGATCAGCGTCAGGCACCTCAGTGGCTCCTACCACTGAACTGGGACCAGCCAATTATTCTGCTCTGAACTGGCTGAATACATCTGTCACTCATGTGTCTTCTGCTCTCTGATTAGCCTGCCAGTCTGGACTCCCTGTTACATAATTGAAGATGTCTTCCACTTTATAAAATGACTCTCTCTGAAAAACAACTCTCGTACCCAACTGCTCTAGAAGACTTTGGTTTCTCAACAGGTGAATCTACCTTTTACCACACAGTACAAAACACAGTGAAACTGGTACCATGTGTTACTGACAAGAGCCCAGCCCAGCTCCCTGAGACAGGAAACAGCACTCAAGAGCAACACTGAAGCTCAGAGTGAAGATCCTCAGTTCAACACTATCAACAAATATATATTAATGTTAAATATATCTGATATTGCTTTACGAAAAACTTGATTTTCCATCAAACACCTGACAATTGTAAATTTGTAATTTATATTTCTTATACTATCTTAACCGCAAAACAAAAGTGTACTACTTAATAATTTGCTCAAATATTTTTTTATTATTTGAAAAACATTTCATGTGTGACCTACTGTTTAATTTAAACATTTCCACAGCCAGATTAACAAACACTTTTTTAATTGTGAAGTAGTAACCAGGAAGATTTGCTCCTTAAGTGACACAGACCCTCAGTCAGTCCCCACAGTGAGCAGAGAGCAGAAGGCTGTCTTCATTACTTCTGCCTGTCAGCTGCTGATGTGTTCAGTCCTCACCTCTCAGGGCTCAGTGCTGCTCTCAGTTCCAGGTCTCCAAGATCACAATAAACACATGTTGCAGAAGGGGTGGAGCTGAGATTGTACAGTGAGCAGACTTCCTCAGACAGTTCCTGCACCTTCCTCATTGTAACACTTTGACAGCAACAAGATCCTTATTCTAGGAGGACAATAATGACTGAAAGATTACAACAGAACAGAATTAAAGACACCTCACAGGAACAACCAAATAAATAAAGTACATCCTGAGACTTTGTGTGCACTGAATGGTAATTAAAATCTGTCAGTGTGAAGTGAGTCACAGCTGAGAGCAGTCTACACTCTGATGAGACACAGCTGTGGGAGGTCCTATAAGAGCAGGTTGGATATTTACCTCTACACTCTGATGAGACACAGCTGTGGGAGGTCCTATAAGAGCAGGTTGGATATTTACCTCTGTGCTCTGATGAGACACAGCTGTGGCAGGTCCTATAAGAGCAGGTTGGATATTTACCTCTGCAGTCTGATGAGACACAGCTGTGGGAGGTCCTATAAGAGCAGGTTGGATATTTACCTGCTGGGAGAACATACCAGTCCTAGGCTGGCCTCAGTTTGGAGAGGACAGGAGATTTAAGAGTCTCACACGTACCACACATGAGTGTGAACAGTAGACCAGGTACAGCGGGGTGAGGTGGGAGAGCTAGCTGAGCCAGAGTGTGAGTGTAGCTGGCATGTGAATGCAGGGAGTGAGAGTGACCATATAGTTGTAGATTTTTATGCCTTCCACTTTATCAAATAAGTATCCCAGATGTTGGAAGGGATGAACCGTGGAATGGCAGGAGAGTGGAAAAAGACCCTATACGTAGTGGTGGGACGGGGGTTAGCCCAGGCTCAGCTGTTCAGGAGTCGTATAGAAACCAATGAGCAGCGGACGTGGGGCGACCTGGAGAGACACTACTACTGACAAGAGCCCAGCCCCGCTCCCTGAGAGAGGAAACAGCACTCAAGAGTAACACTGAAGCTGAGAGTGAAGGTCCACAGTACAACATTATCAACAAGAAACTCCAAACACCGTCTCAAGACAAGCAAGTAAGATATCATGGCTGACAGTGTCAAAAGCAGCCCTGAGATCAAGAAGGATGAGGACAGAAAGAGAACCAGAATCAGAAGCTGTTAGAAGATCGTTAGTGACTTTGACCAGGGCACTTTCTGTGCTGTGTAAGTGTCTGAAGCCATTATGGTTCAAATAGGTTATTTGCAATGAGATGATTATTTAATTAAATAACATGTTCTATCAAGAACATTTGACATTAAAAGAGGGTTTCAGCCTAATGAACTGATAAGATCACTTTATTAGCCCTATACAATTTCTTGCATTAGGAATTTGTCTTTTCACAAACCCCAGCTTACTCTCCATGAGACACACAGACAGGGAGGGAGAAGCCTGGGGTCAGAGCACAAGGTCAGCTATTGTACAGCACCCTTGGAGCAGTTGGGGTTAAGGGCCTTGCTCAGGGGCCTAACGGAGTAGGATACCTCTGCCAGCCATGGGATTTGAACCAGTAACCTTCCAACCAACAGAGGGCAGATCCTGAGCCACAGAGCCACCACTCCACCCACAGTTTTATCACAGTCCCCTTTGTGAGAAATGAAGGAGGCCACTAATTGATTCTCCTTCCCACATACTCTCCTGCCCCCTGATTTGCGTTGGACTTAATTGAAATTATATGCTGTTTTTCCTCTCTTTTAACTTCTTCAACGATTTTCTTTCTTCTTCTGGTTTCTGTAATAACATTGGATATGTAAATGAAAAAGTGAAATGAAAAAGAGCTCAATTCTGGATGAAGCACTGCTACTGAGCTTCACCTTATGTGCTGTGTTTCTAAAAAAGAAATAATTTTACCTTTTACCTTTTCAGCTCTGGAAAATAGCTCATTGGTAACCTTCTGATCTAGAATCAAGCTGTGAAATCTTTGACTGTCTGGTCTTCCTTTCAGTCCCAATGGGGACTCAGTCTTGCTCAGCTTTATTCATAGACTCTTGAGTTCTTTCTGCTTGGAAGTGAAAGAAACACACCTGGGAGACAACATAGTACACCGAATATGTAATAAACTGGTATAACTAATGCAGTTAGTTATACTAACTGCATTAGTGGAATAATAGGAAATATTATTAATATCAGCAAAATAATTTTTAAATTAAAGTTTACTGTCTAAAACCTTTCTGTTAAGTGAATTTAAACAAGAACTGGATAATTACAGCAAAAAAAACTATTGCAGACTAATACACAAGTGAAGGGTCAAACATTTTACAACCTTCTTAACGCAAGGTCAGACACGTCTTTTGATAGGTGTGCATCACGGTGGACAGCTGATCTCTGTGTAGGGTCAGAGGACATACACTGGGATACTGTGTGGCATAATGTTAGTTATCCATTAGAGCATACATAACAAACTGCTTCAGTACAACATTTTAAATACTTTATTATACCCCAGAAAAATTGGAAAAGATGAAGTGGCATAATACAGGAATAAGTTCCAAATGTAACACACATAAAGGATCATTATTGCACTTATTATGTCATTCTGGACCTCCACAGTAGGGAAAGCTCTCAGGCACCTATCTCAATTCCACTTACTTTCATGTATCCCTGGAGATTTATCAAAGTTTAAAGTAGCAATTCAATATAAAAATACTCTTTTGACTCTTTGTTTGTGAAAATGGGTGGACAGTACAGGACCGTCATTAAAGAGGCTGTATCACAAGTTAAATTTGAAAAGATTTCATATATTTTACAAGGGAAACGTAATGAGTTTAGGAATGTTTGGGGCCCATTAGAGACATATTTGAGTGGCACTGGACTTTAAGAATATTAGTTGGAAGTTTATTTTTATTTTAAAGAAAGTGGTATTGTCTAATAAGAACAAAAATGAGAGAGTGAATTTTTTTTAAAAAAAAATAATAGCTGGGGGGTGGAGGTGGGTTAAAAAAAGAAGAATAGGAAATATGCCCGTTACATATTGGAAATATAATTGAAGAAATTAAGATTTAATTTAAATATAGTTTTCATGATATTGAAAGACACTGAATGTCCACATATTTTCAATATATTCAATCTAATTTATATCCATAAATAGCTGGTGGGAAATAGATGGCTGGTTTCTTGGCTTCATGATCTGTGTAACCGCTGATGATGGTAAATGAGGAAGAGTAGGCAGACTCCTCCAGAACTCCCACACTGGAGCCACTGGTGTCACAGACAGCACAGCCCCAGAGACAGGAGAGGTGAAACTGAAAACACCTGGGAGTCTGGCTGAGAGCCCACTGACTCTACACTGGACAGGGCTCAGCCTGTGTGCCACCACAGGGGAAAAGATCCAGACTTGAACCTGTGATCACACAGCACAGCCTTGAGTACTGCCTGTACTTGTGAACACACTCAACAGACAAGGGGAGCTGGGCTCCAGCTTGATATACCTGTTTCACAGGAAAGTCCAAGAGCTCCTGCATTCCTGAACACTGATCTGTGCTCGAGCTGCATGATCACAACAACACAGCCTGAAGCCACTGCCCAGTTTCCCAGAATCCTCCTGCTTCTCTGTGTTACAGCAGAAATTGAAAATTGAAAGCAACATTAATCCATTAATGCGATAAAGAGAGTCTCCGAAGTGAAGGTCACAATTTTCAGAGTATCCAGCCTGTAAGTATCCTGTGATTTTCATACCAGTTAACAGCACAGTGTACTGTAGGATTAGGTGCTGTCCTGTCTCAGTCAGACAGTACAGATATTCACACAACAGATTAATTATTAATGTGTATCTGAAGGTGTAAAATATCTCCGTTTTCACTGTATTTTCCCTGTATTTGCTCTGCCAACAGGCAAACAATAAATTCCACTGCTCCAGTTCAAAGTTTTTCTTTCACTTTGTGTTTCCTGTAGTTAAATGGCTCTTATGTCTCTCTGGACAACATCTCTCAACACTGGAAAGATAAAAAACTTTTCTCAGCAGTCTGGACTGTAGTTCACACTGTAAACATCCCGTCAGTATAAAACCAGGTGAGTGTGAATCTGCTGAAAGTGAGGCTCCCCTCACTACCACACTACAGCTGGATAATTCTCTAAGTGTCTGTTTCTGTGAAATCTTACCCTCCAAAGTGTTACATTTGCAAGTTAGTAGTAAAGGCTGCCCATTAGAACATGTCTTTATCTTAGAACTGAAATCTGACCTGAGTAGCTATTTATTTTAGAGATCAGCATTGATCTATCAGTGATTTTTTTAAAGGTGAAACGATATCAGAGGGTGTTTATTTGAAATATTACATTTGAAATATCTGACTTTTTTCTTTTTCATATGGTTCATATCAGACAAGATGTTTTTATATTTAAGTGATTAACCCTGACCCAGTCTGAGTATTTCTATACTTCTGAGTTGAAGTGTGACCAACCTGAATGTTTCTGTATTTCCAAGATGAATTCTTATGAATCATAGTATTTTCTCTCTTTTAGAGATAAATTGTGACTGATCAGTGTGTTTCTTCATATGAGAGATTAAGTCTGCCCACTCAGAGTCTTTCATTATTCCAGGTATGCTGTCAACTAATCTCAGTGTTTCTGTATTGCAGGTATGAAGTCTGACAGTTCAGAGTGGCTCTCTGTGACTCTGTTGCTTCTCCTCCAGTCCTCTGCTTCAGTATCAGGTACAGTGAAGAGAGACTCTCTCATTTCATTAGCCATATTTTTATATTTCTGGAACAGAGGCTGTTTTCTGTGCCCTGGTCAAGTGGACAGTATGAAGGCAGGTCTTTATTTGTCTGACAATTGTTAAAATCACCCAGGATGAAACAGGGAGGCCTGCAGATTATTTAAAAAAAACACTTCTCTCTACTGAGACAATTTCTTCTAACATCTCCATTTCCAGTCCAGTCCAGACCTCACTGTCAAAAGAGGTTTTTCCTTCTCTGTTTCTGTTATTTTTTTCTTAAACCTTCCAAGCTGACCCCATGCCTCACATCGACATTGACTACCATTCAGTAACACTCCTTCAAACCCGCGCTGCTCCACAGAGAGCAGAAATGTTCTGCGAAGCCTTTCATTAAAAATATCCCCTGTTCCTTGTGTCTCATTCTCACTGCTGTCTTACGAGCTAATTTCACTACTAGCTTTGACATGAGAGGTCAAAAACAAAAGAAATATTCATAATGCTTTATAATGATTTTGTGACTGGCATTTATCTCACATTTCTGAAAAAAATGAAGGCTTTTTATTTATAAAACATAATAGAAAGTCTATCCATCACCAAGCGCTGCATTTCGTTTTTACTTCGGCACATGAAACGAACATATAGACAAAAAAAAGACATTTCCCGACATCACACATGCAGTGGACTCCAGAATTATTGGCACCCCTTGTCAAATATGAAGAAAAAAAGTAATGATAAAATAAACCACATATATGAGTATTAAATATCTGTCAATATCTGTTAAGGGAATACTAGTCCTTTCTTTTCTAAAACAATTTTCAAGGTTCAATTGTAAACAAGTTTAAACAAGGCTGTTTAAACCTGGCTGTTAAACAAGGCTGTTTTACCTGAAAAACATAAGCTCCAAAATTATTGGCACCCTTTAAGATCCCTTCACATACAATCAAACATTTGAAAAAATAACATATTTATACTTGTTTGAGTTCAATTTTGTCTTAAGGAACTAATGTGTGTACTTTAGTGACTTCCTGTTTCCCTGGGGTATAAAAATGATGAAACACGCACAGAAAAACCTTTTGTCCTCCATCAGCATGGGGAAGGTAAATAACTAACAACAGAGATGAGGCAAACCACTGTTGATCTTCACAAAGATAATAATGGGTACAAAAAATAAGTAAAACCTTAAAATTCCCAATATCCACCATCAGAGCAATAATGTAAAAATCCAGCCCCACTGGAACAGTGGGTAATTCCCAGGAAGAGGAGCTGCCCATCTTGTCCCCACACAGAGAGAAGGAGGGTGAGGGAGGCCAAGAATAATCCTCAGGTCTCAGGTAAAGAAACACATGGACTGGTGGCATTGTGGGGTCATTCTGTGTTTTATACTTCTTTCTCTTCATATTTATCAAGGTGTGCCAATAATTCCAGAGTCCACTGTACGTTAACGAATTCAGTGAAGTAAAATCCACAGCTATCCATATTGTACTATTGTTTTCATAATTCAAATCCAAAATGCAATTATCCGTTCCCTAATAACTATATACAAACACTAATAATTCTATATATTGTAATTAAAAAAAAACTGTATTATTGCTGTAGAGCATTGTAACATCTAGAGCTGTGGTAGTGATGTGGTAAAAATATCATGACTCAGCAGTGTAATCTTGGCATTTGATGCAACTGTCACTAGTACAGTAAGAAGAGAGAAAATAAGCACTGATGGGTTTGTGGGACATCTGACAGTTTTACAGAGCATTTATTATTCTGTATTATTTATTCTTTTAACAGAGGAATTCAGGAAAAAAAATCTGTCGCAGCTTTCTGTCTTCAGGCAATTGAATTTTGACATCTCTGACCTTCAGCTCATTCATCTCATCTCACTTTCTCAGTTTCCTACAACTAGTCCCTCAACCCTGTCTGTTGCAGCTTCATTCATCCTGTCTCTCAGTCTTTCTCTCTCTCTTTTAGAGCCCTGGTGTGCAGCATCGCCTGTCCTTTCCCAGTTACACACACCCCTGCTGAAGACATCACATATCTACATAGACTCTATGGAGACTGTCCCTGTCCTTCTCACTGTACTGTCACTGTTGTCTCTGGAAAAGAGCTCAGACCACAGCTCTGAGTGTCCCTGTCCTGCTCACTGTACAGTCTCTGGAAAAGAGCTCAGACAACAGCTCTGAGTGTCCCTGTCCTGCTCACTGTACTGTCTCTGGAACTGCACTTGCAAATTAAACACAACATTAATTATACTAAATTAACCAATAACTCTCTGGGCAAAATAAATAAAACATCAATGACAGAAATGGAACAATAAAAAAGATTAAAGCTCTGTCTGTTCCCACCTGCTCTCCCGCCCTCGTTCACTGCTCAGACACAGACTCAGCTCAGTGGGAGTGTTGCTCTACAGGCTGGGTGAGTCTGTGCTGAAAGAACAGGTCTGTTCAGGTAAAGTGAAAGAAGGAAGAGAACTGTGTTCCTGTAGCAGTGAACAGCAGTTACTGTGAATAAGATGGAGGATTGAACAGGAGAAAAGACTTCACCTTACAGCACATAATAATAATTACAGACCAGCACTGAGACAACACAGTCACTGATCAAAGAGTTGATCTATATGCTGAAGAAGATTCAATGTACAAGTCTGAAGCTGCTGTGTGCTGGAGTGACAGTGAGATCAGTCAGGTACAGCAG